AAAAAAAAAAAAAAAAAAAAAAGCTGGGTGTGATGGCTCACACGTGTGGTCCCAGCTATATAGGAGGTTGAGGTGAGAGGTTTGCTTGAGTCCAGGAGGTCAAGGCTGTAGTGAGCTGTGTTTGTGCCACTGTACTCTAGCCTGGGTGACACAATGAGATTCTGTCTGAAAAAAAAAAAAAATAGAGCTGGGCACAGTGTTTCACACTCATAATTTCAGCAGTTTTGGAGATCGAGGCAGTAGGATTATGTGAACCCAGGAGTTCCAGACCAGTCTGGGCAACAAAGTTGTATTAAGACCCCCCATCTCTATAAAAAATCATAAATTAGCCAGATGTGGTAGCATGCTTTTGGGGTCCCAGCTACATGGGAGGCTAAGGCAGAAGGATCACCTGAGCCCAGGAGGTTGAGGCTGCAGTGAGCTGTGTTCATGCCACTGCATTCCAGCCTGAATAAGAGCAAGACCCTGTCTTTAAATAAATAAATAAAGACAGAAAAATTTACTGTAGTTTGGTGACCTCAGTATAGTTTTCAACTTGAGATACGTAATTACAAATAAGAAAAAGCTAAATATGATATCTCTGTGCCCTGGTAACTTTAGATACACTCGCATTACAGTTATGTTGGTTGTTTTAGAGTATTATCTTAAAAATCTATACCTGAGAGATATATATATGGATAGAGTTGTAAAATTAGAAGACCATTCACATTAGTGCATTTGTGCATCTCTTAGTTGTATTTTGGAAAGAATAAGATGGTGAGATGAGGAGTGAAAAATAGGAAATTCAAATACATTTCTGAGAAATTGTGGGGAAGACTGATAAAAATGACTCTCTGGAGCTCCTCTGAGTAAAGTCTCTCAGTTTTGCTTCCTTTGAGTATTTTCTACTGAACTTTTCTTTTCATCTGCATAACAGCTTACAGTCTAAGACAAGGTTAATTGATATCTGGGTAACAATTTCTGAATTCTTACCCTTCCTCTGTGTTGCCCAGGCTGGTCTTGAACTCCTGGCCTCAAGCAGTCCTCCAACTTCAGCCCCCCAAAGATCTGGGATTACAGTGTGAGCCTCTGTGCCCAGCCAGTTCATGTTTTTATATTCACCTTAAGTTGCAGGGTTAATTAAAAGTATTTTGTATGCCCTTGCACTAAAGATATTCAGTGCAAAGGTACATAGGAATTTTGGCCAGTCTGCATATGCCTTGTGTGACTGTTCACACAGTTATTCATTTAACTCTTTATTACCTGAATTTTTGCAACATTTTCTTCTCTCTGCATTATTAAGTAGCGGCCTTAATAAAACCCAAGTCCAGATGTGTTGGTTGGCTCCTACACCTATGTCAAGGAGAACTTGACGTCTGATATATTTATGGGCCTTCAGCACTTCTAAGCCAGAAAGCCAACATCCCAGACACAGTAATTTTCAACTAAGAACTTGAAAGCTCTAACAAACTGTGAATGATTAGTCAGGGTTCTATTCAACATTTAGTCATTATTTCTAATGTTGTAAAAAGACATACTGCTTAACTAAATGATCTTATTCCACATAGAGTAGGAAAGTTTGGTGATTTTGATATATCACTAGGTTAGAAAAAATCCTTTTTACATAGACACACATACACGTTTTTGACCTTGTAACATTTAATTCTGGGAAGTCTATCTTAACGAAAACATCCTAAATATGGAGAAAAATTTTATGTAGAAAGATAGTCTTTTTTTTGTAGCCACAAATAAATGGAGATAGCCAGGTTGGGCATGGTGGCTTATGCCTATAATCCCAGCACTTTGGGAGGCTGAGGCCAGGAGTTCAAGACTAGCCTGTGCAACATAGCAAGACCCCATCTCTACAAGAAAAATGAAAATTATCCAGGCATGATAGCATACACCTGTAGTCCCAGCTACTTATGTGGCTGAAGCAGGAAGATCACTTGAGCTCAGCAGTTCAAGGCTGCGGTGAGCTAGGATTGTACCACTGCACTATCCAGCCTGGGTGACACAGCAAGACGCTGTCTCTGAAAAGTAAAATAATAAAACAAAAGGAGATAGCCAGCAATAGGATAATAGAATATAATCCAGCTATTTAGAATGTTTCCATAATTGATGAAGAAGTCCATGCCTTATAACAAGTGTGAAAAATATATAGAATTATACACACACTGTGTTTGCAGCTATGTAAAAAATACATAGAAAAAGTCTAAAAGGGGCTGGTCACAGTGGCTCACACCTGTAATCCCAGCACTTTGGGAAGCTGAGGCAGGCGGATCACTTGAGGTCAGGAGTTTGAGACCAGCCTGGGCAACATGGTGAAAACCCATCTCTACTAAAAATACCAAAAATTAGCTGGGCATGGTGGTACACACCTGTAATCCCAGCTACTCGGGAGCCTGAGGCACAAGAATGACTTGAAGCCGGGAGGTGGAGGTTGCAGTGAGCTGAGATTGTGAGACTCTGTCTCAAAAAAAAAAAAAAAAAAGTCTAAAAGGAAATACCTGACATTTTAATTTGTTGCCTTGGGTAGCATAAATGATTTTTTTTCTTACTTTGCTTTATTTTCTAATGAGTGTATATTAACTTTTTTTATCTTTGAAAATAAACTTTAGAAAGAAAGAAAACTATGCAATAAGATACTGTAAGTTATTCTAAGATGGTATTTTCTGTAAGTCATTTTGAAAGAATTATGCTTTTGAACTGTGAAAGAATTGTTTCTGCTTAAGTTTAGAAATGAGCCAGAAGCAGCTGGGCATGGTGGCTCACGCCTGTAATCTCAGCCCTTTGGGAAGCCAAGGTGGGTGGATCACTTGAGTTCGGGAGATCGAGACCGTCGTGGCCAACATGGTGAAACCCTGTCTCTACTAAAAATACAAAAATTAGTTGGGCGTGGTGGCATGCACCTGTAGTCCCAGCTACTCGGAAGGCTGAGGCAGGAGAATCACTTGAACCTGGGAGGGGAAGGTTGCAGTGAGCTGAGATCACGCCACTGCACTCCAGCCTAGCGACAGAGTGAGAATTCGTCTGTCTCCAAAAAAATAAAAATAAAAAGAAAGAAAGAAAGAAAGAAAGAAATGAGCCAGAAGCTTTATGAAACTGTTACTTGCCTCTGTTTGAGAACTGAAAGGACAAACATGAGTTAGTTTTTGATACTTTTGGAATACATGCGAGACCACCCTATTCTCTATTGAAATGGTATCAGTTAAGCAATGATAAGTGTGCCCTCCATTTTAAATGCTTTCTCTTTTATAAATAGAACCTGGTAGTGCAGCCTTTAAATGCAGGTGGTAAAGGTGTAAAATAGTTCTGTAAGTAATTTTCCATGTCTAAAATTGTCTTAAATAGCTACTGTAACATTGATGGAGCCATTGAAATATATTTTATAAGTTAATAGGGGTTACCTTAAGTTTTAAACTAGCTGTATCTTGAACATGTATCTATATTAATCTTGAAATGCAAAAGAAAACTAAGCAATAAGATCAGTCAGAATATATTATTTCATGTGTCTTAAAACACAGGGGAGACCAGCCTGTAGTTGCAGCAGTTATAGAGGTCAAGGTGGAAGGATTGCTTGAGCTCAGGAGTTCAAGACCAGCCTGGACAACATAGTGAGACTTCATCTCTATAAACAAACAAACAGAAAACCACAGGGAGCTCTGTGAAACAGATATCCATATTTGAAGACTATTTATGAGAAATCGTTTTGATTGATTTCAATGTGATTATAGTTAGCTTAAATCCTAATTCTTTTTCCCTCCTAAGTTAAAAAATAAATGTAAAAATTTTAAAATAAAATAAAAAAAATCCGTCAGTGCAGATGCGTGATAATCACAGGGAGACCAAAGATGAAGAGAAACCTCTAATGCACCTTTAGCCTGTGATCTGACTTTAAATTCTATACATCTGCATTGACTAGGAGTTGTAAACTTTTGTTACTCGTGTCATAGATCCATGGTGGTCTATGAGTTTGGGATGTTGGACTCAATTTTTTCACAGATATATATTTGTAGTTTTTGATAATCCAAAGTTATAATCATCTGTAAACTTCATGACTAATAGTCGTTAACCTCATTTCTGATGAATACTTATGGTTACTACATGTTGTCAGGTACTGCTTATGGTGTTGGTTTAGAGGACTTAGTATTTCAGATGTACCAAGACCAGACTCATAGGGATGTTTAGAGAATATATATAACAGCTTTAGGTTTCCTTGTCTGGGGTGGGTGTGTGTGTGTTTGTTGAGAGAGTACATACAGATAGATTTTTTTTTAAGTTTGGCAATTTGCTATAGAATACATTTATTTTAAATATAGAAAACATGAGATCCATCATATAGTGTGGCAACTCAATTTATGTGTGGGATGCATAATTGAGAGATGTTATTTTGAGTCCCCTTTTTTGTGAGCTCTGCTGTGAACTGCAAACTGTATGCATGTATATAAAAGGTTAAGAGCCCGGGTAGCTGAGTGGGGTGCCATGCTGTTAGCAGACGACGAAGGCAGTATTACTCACCAGGTGCACGCTGTCAGCTCTGTAGAAGATTCCATCTTCATGGAGTCATCTCATGGTCCACTTTTTCTTGAAGCCAGGTAACATTTCCAATGGGTTGGTCTAGTTGGAATTTTTCCAACTTGAAAAACCTAAGCATTTTCTTCTCTGACTTTTTTTTTAATGAAACACTGCCTGCTGGAAAAACTAACTTGCAAGCTGGAATGAATCTGTGATATCACTTTGCTTTGTAAGAAATAATTATGTGAGGAGTGATTTTTTTAAAAATAGAAACTGGTGAGGGTGAGAATTGGAGTGTTGTGTCTTGCTTTGTTGTGGTGTTAAGCATGGAGCACTCTAGCTTGTGTTGTAGACTTTTGTCCTAGGGATGTACAGACTCTATTTTGTGATAACTAATCTGTTCACTTTGACTGTTACTGAGGCAAAGTAGTTTTGTGCAGTTTGAATTCTTGGCTCTTAACTCTTTTGCATATGTCAGTACCTTGGTCTTTTAATGATATCTGACTTTTGCTTCAGATCTGTTTAACTTAGTTATAAAATAATCTAAACTAGACAGTCTCTCTAAGCTCTTAATTTTGTAAGTTTTCTTTTCTTTCTTTTTTTTTTTTTTGAGATGGAGTCTCACTCTGTCACCTAGGCTAGAGTGCAGTGGCATCATGTCGGCTCACTGCAGCCTCTGTCTCCTAGGTTCAAGCAATTTTCCTGCCTCAGCCTCCCAAGTAGCTGGGATTACAGGCACCCACCACCATGCCCGGCTAATTTTTATATTTTTAGTAGAGACAGCGTTTCACCACGTTGGCCAGGCTGGTCTCGAACTCCTGACCTCAGGTGATCCACCCGTCTTGGCCTCCCAGAGTGCTGGGATTACAGGCATGAGCCACTGCACCCGGCCAATTTTTTAAGTTTTCTACATCATCTCAGTTGTGTTCACTTAGTAACTAAGACTTCAGTGACATTTAAATAAAATGTTCTGACCTTTTCTTTAGAGCTTTATCCTCTTCATGGTAAGCTGTCATACTTGAGACTCTTGAGGGTACTTACTAAGCATGCTCACAACTCAGTTTGTGGTACAGGCTGTCCCTTGTCATGCATACTATGGCTTCCTTTATGTCATTGCCTTTCAATCCATCACGTTACATTATGTCCGTTAGTTGGTACCATTATCACTGCCTGTCTGACTAACACCAGGGATTGTTTTTTTTTCTCTTTAATTAGCAGTAACCAAATTAATGCAAACTGATAAATCTTCCCCTCCCCCTTTCGGTTTTTTGGGGTGGTGTTTTTTGTAAATTTTTATGAGGCTCAGTGTTTCCAAAGTTGACTTTAATCATTTCTCTTAGAAAAGTATTGTCACTTGTCACTTAACTGCTTACAAAATAGCTTTCAGTTCCTGGGGATAGGAGATTGCACATTATTTAACCATGAATATGATCCTCAAAATTGTGGGAACACCACCTTAATTTTCATTTTGAAGGACCATGATGGTATTATAAAATGCTAGATTGATTTGTCTAACTTCTTTATTTCCCGTGTGAAAAAAATGTTTACAAATTTGGATGTCTACTCCCACAAAGTAGCTAATTGTCTTTATTAGTGTCTACATTATGTCATTTTCTTAAAGTAATGATTAAGTAATTATATACATGGCTATATTGATCAATGTTTTTGATAAACATTACTGTATGCAATTAGCTTGACAAGTGTACTAATACTTACCTAAAAGTAGACTGCTAAATAACTGGTATAGGTTTTCATACTAATCATGTTTTAAGTAATAATTATATTTTCTGACTACAGGCACGTGACACAAGCTGACCTCAAGAGCTCCACGTTTTGGCTTCGAGCAAGTTTTGGTGCTACTGTTTTTGCAGTTTTGGGCTTTGCTATGTACAAAGCATTACTGAAACAGCGATGATATAAAAAGAAATACTGGCCCTACCAAAAACAAATACTTTTATGTACATTCTGAATGCTTTAAGTTCTGCTAGAAATATTGAGATATTTATACATGCAGAGTTACTTTATTAATATTTGTAATTCATGCATAAGAGTATTTTAATGATAGTTATAACTGCAGTATTGGCTAGCATATGGAAAGAAAACAGCTAACAGCCAAACTAAAATGGCTAAATTCCAGAGGCCAAAAGGGAATATTTTGTAAATATATGTACATATTCAGGTAAGATATGGTCTCCCAAGCTGAGTTCTAGAAATGGTGTTTCTAGACATTTCTAAATGGTATTGTTAGTGCTCACTTGGCTCACTCTCCTAGGTTTAAGTTAGCCCAGAGATTGTATTTACTCATGGAACACTTTATTTATTTCACATTTACTCAGAATGATCCTTTGGGTTCTATAAGGACATGAGGCACAATTTGCCATTCTCTCTCCGTTTTTAAAAACATAAGCAGTGTCAGCTTACCAACATGACTTTTTTTCAGTCAGTTGTGGTAGGCCAGCCTTGAAGCCATCGCACAGTCTAGAAAATTGTGTAGCTGAGTGTGCAGCTCACCTTTAAGGGTGAAGTAAGGTAAAAGCAATTAGCAGAGACGTTATCTATGTGATTATGTTGCTTCTTTTGTCAATATGTTGAATTTTATAGCCCTTTCAATGAAATGAAAAAAAAAAAAAACAATTTGTATATTACCAATGTTTTTAGTTTAAATAAAGAGTCACCCTTACTACTGTTGAATTTCCTCCCAAGAGTAAATCATTCTATAATGGCTGTGTCTATTATAGTCTATTACAGTAACTGCATGTGTCACTAAGTGTTCTATATCAGGCTAGGATAACCTAGAGGCAGTAATTTTTTAAATGATAAATCTAATGAATATAAACTCTCATGATAAACCTATTTTTTCCATCATCCGCCTTTTCAAGTATTTAAATAAATAACTGCTGTGTACTGTGATCTTGAGTTCTTTTGTCTTCTGAAGTATTTCTGTACAGATGTGAGTGAAGTCCTCTGGTTTCTGTCTCTCATATTGAGAATTGTTTGTGTAAAAGGAATACTCAGTAGGGAGTGGTGGCTCACTCGTGTAATCCCGGCACTTTGGGAGGCCGAGGTGGGTGGATCACCTGAGATCAGGAGTTCGAGACTAGCCTGACCAACATGGTGAAAACCTGTCTCTACTAAATACAAAAAATTAGCTGGGCATGGTGGCACATGCCTGTAATCCCAGCTACTTGGGAGGCTGAGGCAGGAGATCGTTTGAACCTGGGAGGTGTAGATTGCGGTGAGCTGAGATCGCGCCATTGCACTCCAGCCTGCGCAACAAGAGTGAAACTACATCTCAAAAAAAAAAAAAAAAAGCTGAGTCAGTTGTGATGCCTCACGCCTGTAATCCCAGCACTTTGGGAGGCTGAGGCAGGCAGATCACTTGAGGTCAGGAGTTCAAGACCAGCCTGGCCAACACGGCAAAAACCTGTCTCCATTAAAAATACAAGAAATTAGCCAGGTGTGGTGGCGCATGCCTGTAATCTCAGCTACTCGGGAGGCTGAGGCAGGAGAATTGCTTGAACCCGGGAGGCAGAGGTTGCAGTCAACCGAGATCATACCACTACACTCCGCCTGGGCAACAGAGCAAGACTTCATCTCAAAAAAAAAAAAAAAAATCATTAGGAAAACAGTCAAGTACGATGTATACATGTAAGAGGATATTTATTTAAAAGTTGTAGAGAAGTCTATTCTGGTAAAAGGCCAATTGTTTTCCCCTTCACATAGCTAATTAATGTGGTTTCTACTGTTGTTTGCATGTTTATTTTCTCCTTTAACATGATTTTTCCCCTTTGCTGTTCTAAGGGACATTTTCTTACAAGATCACACCTCTTGAGCAACTAGTAACAGTATCACTTACTAGCTTGCAAAATAACATAGACACTTCATTTTTTATTTTTATTTATTTTTTTATAAGACAGGGTCTCACTCTGTCGCTCAGGCTGGAGTGCAGTGGCACGATCATAGCTCACCGCATCCTTGAACTCCTGGGCTCAAGCAGTCCTCCCATCTCAGCCTCCCAAAGTGCTGGGATTACAGGTGTGAGCCCCCACACCCGGCCTGACTCCTCATTTTTATTATTTTCTGAGAATTTCCCACTTACCAAATTTATGTCAGTTGTATAGTTTGCAATGACAGTTAATTTTTTCCAAGCTCTTTTCTAGTTTGTCTGAAATACTGCTTTAAATGCTTTATAGGTTGTTGCGTTTGTGAGAAGCAGAGGAAAGAAGCTAGCTTACCAAGAGTTAATGAGTGGTGTGTTTATATATTTAGATACTCTCTCTCCATCTTTTCATTTGGGGAACTTACATTTCTTTGGTTCAAAAGAAGGGAGGGAGCAGCTGCCCTATCTTGCGCTTGCTCTGGACACACTCCCTTGCTAAGCTAGCCCCTTTCCTCGCTTGTCAATCACTCCAGGTGGGGTGGATTAGTAGAGGGAATGCTCACTGTTTTCTCATCTTTAACCTACAGGCACATAGCGGTTTTTTCTTTCTTTTCGAGACAGAGTCTTGCTCTGTTGCCAGGGCTGGAATGCAGGAGCGTAATCACAGCTCACTGCAACCTTGACGTTGTGCGCTCAAGTAATCCACCCTCCTCAGCCTCCAAGTAGCTGGGACTGCAGACATGTGCCACCACACCTGGCAAATTTAAAAAAAATACTTTTAGTAGAGATGAGGTCTCACTCTGTTGCACAGGCTGGTCTCAAATTCCAGAGCTCAAGTGATCCTTCTGCCTCAGCCTCCCAAAGTGCTGGGATTATAGGTATGAGCCACCAGAGCTGGTCTATTTTTCTTCATTTTGCATCTACTTTAGAGACTAGTGAATGTGAGAAAATAATGTGAACACAAGAAAAGGCTTCTTCTGGCTTTTACAGTTTGCTCAGGAGATGCAAGCTTTAAGAATACTAAGGAGAGGCCGGGCGCAGTGGCTCAAGCCTGTAATCCCAGCACTTTGGGAGGCCGAGACGGGCGGATCACGAGGTCAGGAGATCGAGACCATCCTGGCTAACACGGTGAAACCCCATCTCTACTAAAAAAGTACAAAAAACTAGCCGGGCGAGGTGGCGGACGCCTGTAGTCCCAGCTACTCGGGAGGCTGAGGCAGGAGAATGGCGTGAACCCGGGAGGCAGAGCTTGCAGTGAGCTGAGATCCGGCCACTGCACTCCAGCCTGGGCGACAGAGCGAGACTCCGTCTCAAAAAAAAAAAAAAAAAAAACACAAAAACAAAAAAACACCCGGGTGTGGTAGCACACACCTGTAATCTCAGCTACCCAGCGGGCTGAGGCAGGAGAATCGCTTGAACTCAGGAGGTGGAGGTTGCAGTGAGCTGAGATCACGCCACAGCTCTTCAGCCTGGGCAACAGAGCGAGACCTCATCTCAAAAAAACAAAGGAAAAAAGAACTATACTGATGAGTCAGTCTTTTTTTTTTTTTTTTTTTTGAGACAGAGTCTCACTCTGTCGCCCAGGCTGGAGTGCAGTGGCCGGATCTCAGCTCACTGCAAGCTCCGCCTCCCGGGTTCACGCCATTCTCCTGCCTCAGCCTCCCGAGTAGCTGGGACTACAGGCGCCCGCCACCTCGCCCGGCTAGTTTTTTGTATTTTTTAGTAGAGACAGGGTTTCGCCGTGTCAGCCAGGATGGTCTCGATCTCCTGACCTCGTGATCCGCCCATCTCGGCCTCCCAAAGTGCTGGGATTACAGGCTTGAGCCACCGCGCCCGGCCGATGAGCCAGTCTTGAATGAAATGAGAACTTTCCCAATCTGTGAAGGCAGCTGAATAATGAAGAGAGGGAAACAGAGGTAAGTGCCTGACCTGTGTGGTAGAGCATAAATCTTTCCTAAACAGGCCCTCAAAATGCAACTTGGGTTGGCTTTTTTTTTTTTTTTTGGCCCATCATTGGCTGTTAGGTTAGCTTTGATGTCCCTTTTGTCTGAATTGCACTAGTAAAAGTCAATACAAAGATGCCTTTAAAATATATGTGCAAATCCTAAAAATAAGTGTGTGATCTAGTTCCATTAACATGTTTGACTTCATACTTTAATACTTCTTATTTTTTATTTGTTTTTTTAACCAACATACCAGATTCCTGAATCATACTTTCACAGTCCATGTGTTTTTAGGAAACTGATTTGAGACTAGGTACTTTTTGAGAAATACCACATGTCAAGATGCTAAATTTAATGTTCACAGTATGAGAATGATCCATGCAGGCAGCTTGACCTCTCCAATGCCTTTATCACCAGATTCACAGTCCAATAACACACTTATTTAAACCCCTAAGGTTACAAGTAATTCGTGTCTTTTTAACTCTTTTTATCAAAAGTCGCTGTCAGTGAAAGCAAGTGTCTGTTAACCTGCTTGGCCCTCAGCTCTGTGGAAGTCTGACCTGTGAGTGTCACAGCTGTGTATTTTAGGTTTCTCTAGTGCATCTCAGTTTCATAAAATATCCTCTTGCTCCCATGGCACTCAGACTTGTCAGACCGTTTGTCCCAGATATTTTGGGTTCAGAAAGTATCTTACCCAGAAGGTAAGATTTTATTTTATTTGAGACAGTCTCACAGTGGCACCACTCGGCTCACTGAAACCTCTGCCTCCCGGCTTCATGTGATTCTCCCGCCTCAGCCTCCTGAGTAGCCGGGATTACAGGCATGTGCCACCATGCCCAGCTAATTTTTGTTACCACGCCCGGCCAATTTTATCTTCTTTAGCATAGATAGTTGCAGAGGTCCAATGGTGAAATCGAGAGATTGTTAGTCCTTCTGGGTTTGAAAGCTGAATGTCAGCTGTGTACACATAAGGAGGAATTGCCAATATTATTTTTATACATTGAAAATTCCAAATTCCACAAGAACAGTGTTTCTCTTTCAGCATTTTCCTATTTATAGTTTATATACAAGTTTTTTTTTTATTTTTTTGAGACAGAGTTTTGCTCTTGTTGCCCAGGCTGGAGTGCAATGGCATGATCTTGGCTCACTGCAACCTCTGCCTCCCAGGTTCAAACGATTCTCCTGCCTCAGCCTCCCGAGTAGCTGGGATTACAGGCGCCTGCCACCATGCTCACCTAATTTTTGTATTTTTAGTAGAGATGGGGTTTCACCATGTTGGCCAGGCTGGTCTCGAACTCCTGACCTCAGGTGATCTGCCACCTCGGCCTCTCAAAGTGCTAGGATTGATTACAGGCAGGAGCCATCATGCCCAGCCCATATAAGTGTATTATAATCAACTCTTAGGAGTTTTATTAGGATAACATGAATGTATAGGCTGCAGTTTAAGTTATAAGTCGCAAACTTTTTCTGCAAAGGGCCAGATTGGAAGTATTTGAGACTTTCACAACTACTTAACTCTGTTGTAGCATGAAAACAATCATAGACAATATATAAGCAAATGAGTGATTTCGTTCTAATGAAACTTCATTTATGGACACAGAGATGTGAGTTTTGTGTCATTTGTATGTACCAGAAAATATTCTTATTTTGATTTTCTTAACCATCTAAAAATGTGGAAACTAGCCAGGCGTGGTGGCTCACGCCTGTAATCCCAGCACTTTGGGAGGCCGAGGCAGGCACCTGAAGTGAAGAGTTTGAGACCAGCGGGTGCAACGTGGTGAAACCCCTTCTTTACTAAAAATACAAAAATTAGCCAGATGTGGTGGTGCATGCCTATAATCCCAGCTACTCGGGAGCCTGAGGCAGGAGAATAACTTGACTCCAGGAGGCAGAGGTTGCACTTAGCCGAGATTACATCACTGCACTCCAGCAAGACTCCATCTCAACAACAACAGCAACAAAAAAGTGGAAACCATTCACGTGCTGTACAGAAACTGACAGCCAGATTTGATAAACACCCCCTGTAACTGATGAAAATATAGTAGTAAATGCACAGCAGCATTTACTAATGATTTTTTTAAATTACC